GGGAGAGCTTGTCCGCGGAGGTGTCGCAAATAAGCGCCAAGCAGCCCCAGACACGAAAACGCGACGCAACACCAGGGGACCCGGTCCAAAGACTGGTCGGTGAAACCTCTGGCCGAGAGACACGTGGCCAGAGGTTCAGCTGGTGAGCAGCGTACCGAACCACGTAGGGCCACAGAAAATGGGGGGCACGGGCGTGAGTCATGGAGGTGCGGGCGATCTCCATGACCAGGCCTATGCGGCGCTCAGCAACCCCATTCTGCTGTGGGGACTCTGGAAGCGTCCATGAGTGACGGATGCCCTGCGCGCGGCAAAACATACCCCCGTGGTCGGAGTTAAGACAACTAACACGACGACCACGACCAGACACTGGAACCTGACCAGACACAATTACCTGGTGGGAAGTGGCAACCTGGTGAGACGCAGGAACCTGACTGGGGGCAGTGACAGGGGTTGGAGGCAGTTGGTGCTACTTCTACTGCTGCGGCTGCTGCTGCTGCTGCTGCTGTTGCTGCCTCCCTTGAGGGCTAGTGTGAAGTGTGTAGAGACCACAGCCTGGCTCAGCGTTAAAGGTGGCCAGAGGCGCGTACGTGTCACCGTCTACACAGGTCGCAGTCTACCTTGAAGGCTCAAACCAAACACCCACGTGACTACGCACAAGCGGCCTCACACCCACCATTTTCCTGGAGAACGAGGGGACGTGGAAGCCCGTCAGGAAGCCAGAGGGAACAGTCGGGCACGGAAGTGTAGTAGTCTAGCGAGCAGTGACTAGTCCAGAAGTGGGATCATTCAGCGCTACAGAAACCGGCGTAGGAAGCGGGGTAAGAGTCGTGTGGTCGTGGAAGAAAAAGTGCGAAGCTCCAGAGTCCAGAGTGAAAGACAACGAGGCGTCCTCCGGAGCAGTTCCTGAACTAGTACCTAAGCAAGTACCTACACTAGCAACTGTCACATCAGCATCACTAGCACCTAAGCTAAAAACACGCGAGTAAATTGAGTCAGAAGCACTAGAGTCAACAACAGCATACATAGCATGAGGAGTTCCTAAGAGATCAACTAACTGAGAAGCCATCAGATGAAACGAGCCATCAGGAGTTCCCAGAGAAGACAAAAAAAAACGCAAAGAAGACGGAGGCAGAGGCATGTCTCGTTCTTCAATGCCTCTGTCTCTCCTCGGTTTGGGAGACTGGGCTGCTTCTGGTCTCTGGATGATTGCGTCGTGCACCTTGGTAGGCTCGCAAAGAAGCTAAGAAGAAGAAGAAGAAGAAGAAGAAGAAGAAGAAGAAGAAGAAGAAGAAGAAGAAGAAGAAGAAGAAGAAGAAGAAGAAGAAGAAGAAGAAGAAGAAGAAGAAGAAGAAGAAGAAGAAGAAGAAGAAGAAGAAGAAGAAGAAGAAGAAGAAGAAGAAGAAGAAGAAGAAGAAGAAGAAGAAGAAGAAGAAGAAGAAGAAGAAGAAGAAGAAGAAGAAGAAGAAGAAGAAGTCGTAACAGCAACTGCGGTCACGTCAGTAGCGTCAGTGGCAAGGGAGGCAGTAAGGTGGGCAGCTAAGGGACAGTGTACCCGAGAAACAGTGGAGGGGGCACAGCACCACAGGCGAAGGCTACCGAGCGGAGGTTGCTCTCGACGTCCTTGAGAGCAGACTCAAGGACGTCAATAGTGAGCTCGCTAGGGTGCTTCAGAAGAAGCGCGTCACGAACCGAGGCAAGGCGGTCAGGGAGGCTAGTGGCGATGAAATAAATAGTAATCGCCATGGGGGGGGGGGGGAGGAGTGCAAGCTGTGCATCAGTGCAGGCAGCGCGGTAGCTAGAGTCCAGTGAGCGCAGGTGAGCAATTAAGTCATCAGAGCACTCAGACGAGGCAAGGTCAGGAAAAAGGAACGGGAGGAACAGGCGGCCAAGAGAGACAGTTGTGAGAGTAGCGTAGCGCGCCTTGATCGCAGTCAAGTAGTCACTAGCCGAGCGAACCAGACTAAAGTGGGCCTCCTCAGACTCAGGGAGGAGGCTGCTGAGGGCGATGCAGGCCGCAGCGTCACGCGACTTCCACGCTGTCAGGGCAGCACGCTGGCGTGCATGACGGTCTCTGTTTGCAGTGGTGGCGTCGGCGCCTAAGGGTGCAGGATCGGGGGGCGCAAGAAAGTCACCGGAAGCGTGCGCCCACAGAGACTCGTCTGCCTGAACCAGACTCTCTAGGAGACGCTACGCACGCAGGAGCCAGAACTCGAGTGGCCTACCCTCGGCGTCAAAGCGGAGGACTCTAGGGGTCACCATAGCGGAAGCGAAGAGGTGGGAACTGCCGCTGCCGAAACCCTAAACGCCTAGAGGGCTTGAGTAGGGCGTGACAGGCAAAGCGTGAGGCTGAGAGCGCTACGGGGCGTGTAGGGCATGACGCGGCGGCAGGGTAGGGCGCGACGGGACAGGCGAGGGACGGGACGGGACAGGCGCGACGCCGCAGGACAGGCAGCGCGGCGCGACGGGACGGGACGGTAGCGCGACGCGACGGGTTGGGAAAACAGTGCGATGCCACAGGACGGGACGTGCAGCGCGACACGACGGGAGGGGATGGGCAGCGCGACGCGGCGGGACGGGCAGGCGCGGCGCAGGCGACGCGACGGGACGGGACGGACGCGATGCGACGGGACAAAACGACGCGACGTCTCGGGACGGCAAGGACAGGTGCGACGCGGCTGACAGGCGCGACGCGACGGGACGGGCAGGGGAGACGCGAATCGACGGGACAAGCGGGCGCGACGCGACCGGCAGGCGCAATGGGCGCTAGGGCGTGGGACAGATGGGCGTAATAGGCGCTAGGGAATGGCACGGGCATGACGGGCACTAGGGTACGGGACAGGCTCGGGCGCTACGGGCGAGAGCGGAAGGAACGGGATCCCTCAGGATCCTAACCTAGGTGATACCATGTCAAGAACTGAATGATGGTTTGACTAAGGTTGGTTGGGGTACATAAACCTAACCCTAACTGTTGTACCCCATATTGTCAGAATGAATAGCAGGAATGAATAAACTAGCAAACAGTTTGGTCCAAGTACTAACCCTAAACTGGGTTGTACCCCATACAGTCTACCCCACTACATCCTACACAACACAGCATAATGTTCTGACACACCCCCATAGGCAAAGTGGGGGAGTACAAGCAGTCACAGAAAAGCAAGCTCAGGGTGGATCACGAAGTCACCACACAGTCCGAGCACAAGCAAATGGCCACAAGGCCAGTTCACATGCAAAGGTATATAAAGCAAGACAAACAGTGCAGTGATCACAACCTAGCAAGTGTAAGCATGCATGTGTATATATAGATCACATTACAAGCAAGGTCAGGCAGTGAGCAAGTGAGCAAACGTAGGCACGAGGCCTAAAGCAGTACACAGACGTTCATGATCACCAGGCGAAAGTGCCTTGGTGAAGATATCAGCTGTGTTGGCCCGAGTGGCCACGTAATCTAGACGAAGCTGACCAAGCTGCTGCAACTCTCGAGCAAGGAAGTAACGCAGAGCGATGTGCTTCGTTCTGTGCTCCAATCTGTGCTCCTGACACAAGGCAATAGCGGCCTTGTTGTCGACGTACAGAACTGGAGGAGAACTAGGCCGCTCTCCCAAGTCGGTTAGCAGGTAGGTGAGCTAGCGTAACTCCTGTGCAGCCATGGCCGTGGCGTAGATCTCAGCCTCACAACTGGAGTTGAGAACAGAAGACGAGCGAGTAGACAGCTAAGAAACAGAGCCGGAACCAAGGCTAAAGGTGTAACCCTGTGACGACCGCTGTGTAGCCAGGTCGTCAACCCAAGAGGTGTTTGAGTGTCCAATGAGGACAACGTCACCCCGTCCTCCAAGCACCAGCCCCATGCCTGATGTACTGCACAAGTAGCGCAACACCCTCTTAGCAGCCTCCCGCCGGTGTCCACCAGACGCAACGTAGCGAGCCAGGATGCTAAGAGGGTACGCAAGGTCAGGTCGAGTGCAGGTCATCAAGTACATGAGGCAGCCCACAAGCTCTGGATATGGGCCACTCGGCTCTACGGACTCGTCCGAAGGTGGAGCTGAGAGCGAGTGACCGATAGGCAGAGGAGTGGACTGTGGTGAGGAGAACTGGAAGCCGAAGCGCTGAAGGACCTGCTGCACCATCTGTGACTGAGTCAGGGTGATGGTGCGGCGTGCTCTGTCCCGGGTGATCTGCAAGCCAAGGTAGCTGCGCAGCTCACCCACGTCTGTGCACGTGTGTCTCTTCTACAGCTCCGACTTCACAAGGGCGAGTGCCTTAGTGTCAGCAGTGGCAAAAACCAAGTCGTCGACGTACACGAGGATGTAGAACGGCGGCAGAGAAGTGTCGGTGCGAAGAAACAGCGACGGGTCAGCAGTGGAAGGAGCAAACCCAAGAGCCACAAGTGTCGTCCTCAGTGTGTCGTGCCACTCACGAGGCGCCTGGCGGAGACCGTAGACTGGCCGCCGGAGGCTCTACTGGGTATCAGCAAGGAACGACCCAGTAAAGCCAGGTGGGCGGCGCAACCAGATCTCCTCGTGTAGGCTGCCCTGCAAGAAAGCTGTGCTGAAGTCAAGAGAGTGAAGCTCGTAGTCACGCTGAGCGGCAACGTGCAGCAGCACCCGAAGAGTGGTCATCTTCTGGGTAGGGGAGAAGGTCTGGAAGAAGTCAACTCCCTATCGCTGACTGAAGCCTCGTGCAACGTAACGAGCCTTGAAGACAGGCGGAGAACGCTGCGACCGCTTCACCCTGAAAATCTACATGCCATCGACTATGTTCGCCCGAGGAGGGGGAACCTCGTCGATGGCTGTCTGCCACTGAGAGGAGTAGGGACCGGAAATTGCCTCTACGTAAGAGCGCGGGGTCGGGATGTCCAGTGCATCCGAGTCTCCCTCAGGTGCAAGCAGCCAGGCCACGAGATGAGGTACAGCAGCCGCAAGTGACTTAAAGTCCTCCTGCCTGTCCTCAAGGACGTCCGTGCCAAGAGCACGCTCACCCCCGACGGACGGAGGACAGACAGACTAAGACTCAGCAACAAGACTGGCGGTGTAGTCTAGACGACACGCAGCAGCAAAGTCGACAAGCTCAGCAACTAAGGCAGACGCAACAGTAGACTCAAACGACGGGTCAGTGACAGCAGTAGCCAAGAGACGCGTGATAGTAGGGCTGGCAGCACGAACACGGTCAGACTCAGGGTCAGGAATCTCACAAACGGAGGAAGTAGGAGGAGACGGCAGAGGGACACGCTGAGGAGTAGTGGAAGGACGAAGTGCCCTAGTGTGAGTACCTGGCACAGGAGGAGGACGCGGACGCGGGACACGACGAGCAGTGCGAACAGTGTGGACAGGGGAGACAGGACGAGACGCAGGCTCACGACGCTCTGTAAGGGTTGGAGACTGGCTGCTCAGTGTAACGAGACGGGGCAGGCAGCGGCGAGTCCGGAGGAAGGGCAGTGGACGAAGGAAGACTAAGAACTTGACGAAGTACCGACTCGGCGGAAGCTCGGACAGCTGCGGCGGCGGCAAGAAAAACGGTCGCTGCTGCACAGTACCTCCAGCTCCAGCACCTCCAGCTCCAGCGCCTCCAGCGCCAGCGCCTCCAGCTCCAGCGCCTCCAGCTCTAGCGCCTCTAGCTCTAGTACCTCCAGCTCCAGCGCCGCCAGCTCCAGTACGTCAGGCGCCAGCGCCTCCAGCCCCAGCGCCTCCAGCGCCAGTGCCTCCAGCTCCAGTGCCTCCAGCGCCAGTGCCTCCAGCTCCAGCGCCTCCAGCTCTAGCGCCTCCAGCTCCAGGACGTCCAGCGCCAGTGCCTCCACCCCCAGCGCCTCCAGCGCCAGTGCCTCCAGCTCCAGCGCCTCTAGCTCCAGTGCCTCCAGCTCCAGCGCCTCTAGCTCCAGCGCCTCCAGCTCCAGCGCATCTATCTCACGAGCCCGCAACACCACCAACTTCGGCAGCTCCAGTACCAGCAGCACCACCAGCTCCAACCGCTCCACTACCTCCAGTACGAGCACCTCCAGGACCAGCAGCTCCAGCTCCAGAGTCGCCAAATCCAGCGCCTCCAACTCTAGTACCTCCAGCACCAGCGCCTCCAGCGGCAGGACCTCCAGCTCCAGCAGCGTCACTCCGAAGGCGGGTGCGTCGAGCAAGCCACTCACGCAGCTGCTGTGGTGAGAGAGGCTCTCGCCGACTAGACTGCGGTGGCGAGGCACCTGTAGGACCTCCAGGACTAGTAGCTCCAGTACCCCCAGTACCTCCAGCTCCAGCAGGACCGCTAGCACCTCCAGGACTAGCAGCTTCAGGGGCTCCAGCTCTAGCACCCCCAGGACGAGCACCTCCTGGACCAGCAGTGCCAGCATCACCAGCACCTCCAGTACCAGCAGCACCACCAGCCCCGGCAGCTCCAGTACCTCCAGTACGAGCACCTCCAGGACCAGCAGCTCCGGCTGGAGAGCCTCCAGCTTCGGCGCCTCCCGCTCCAACAGCGCCACTCCGAAGGCGGGAGCGTCGAGCAAGCCACTCACGCAGCTGCTGTGGTGAGAGAGGCTCTCGCCGACTAGACTGCGGTGGCGAGGCACCTGTAGGACCTCCAGGACTAGTAGCTCCAGTACCCCCAGTACCTCCAGCTCCAGCAGGACCTCCAGCACCTCCAGGACTAGCAGCACCACCAGCCCTGACAGCTCCAGCACCTCCAGTACGAGCACCTCCGGGACTAGCAGCGCCAGCGCTAGAGCCTCCAGCTCAGGCGACTCCAGCTCCAGCAGCACCACTCCGAAGGCGGGAGCGTCGAGCAAGCCACTCACGCAGCTGCTGTGGTGAGAGAGGCTCCCGTAGTGAAGACGCAGTACCCCTAGGCTCAGCACCCCCAGACTCAGCACCCCCAGGCTCCGCACCCGCAGGCTCAGCACCCCCAGGCTCCACACACTCAGGCTCAGCACCCCGAGGCTCCACACTCGTAGGCTCAGCACCCCCAGGCTCCGCACGCTCAGGCTTTGCACCCGCTGGCTCAGCACCTCCAGACGCAACACCTCGAGCAGTACCACCCCCAGCAGCACCAGAGTCACCAGTGACCTCGACAGGCTCAGCCAAGGGAAGTGGGTCTACCTGAGACACACCTGAAGGAGCAGGACCCTGAGGGGGGAGGGGGTCTACCGGAGGGGGACCTGGAGCGAGGAAGAGCGGCGGGGGGGGGGGGAGAGGGGCAGTGCGGTAGGGGAAGAGACGGTAGAAGGGAACCGACTCGTCAAAGGTGACGTCCTGGGACGCGAAGACACGGCGCGAGGTGGGGTGGTAAAACTGCCAGCCAGGCGCGTTAGGGGGAAAGCCAAGGAAGACGCAGGGAACAGCGCGAGAGGACAGCTTGTCCGCAGAGGTATCGCGGACAAAGGCACGAGAGCCCCAGACCCGGAACCGCGACGCATCGCCAACCTCCCCCATCCAACGCAGGTTGGGCGAGGTCTCCGGCAAGGAGACACGGGGCTAGAGGTTGAGCTGATGCGCAGCGTATCGGACCGCAAACGGCCACAGAAAATGGGGAGCAGCCGCATGGATCATGGAGGTACGAGCGACCTCCATGACTAAGCCAATGCGGCGCTCAGCAATCCCATTCTGCTGCGGGGAGGCCGGAAGCGTGAATGACTGGAGGATGCCCTCCCCCTGACAAAAGTCCTGCAAGAGGTCGGAGGAGAACTCACCACCTCTGTCAGAGTGCAAACGTAGGACAGGAAATTCCGTGCAGAACTGCTCGTGGAGGTGGAGACGAACAGCGCGGATCCAAGGGATCAGGACAGCAGGGACCTCCCCTTTTCTGCACAAGGGGAAGACCGTGGTGTAACGCGAGTAGTTGTCAACAACCAGCAGAAAGTTCCGTTCGCGGCCCTGTCCACTGACGCGGGCTGGGCCCCACACGTCGATGTGGAGAGTATGCAGGGGAGCAGTCGTCGGGGGAAACGAGGAGGAGTGAGGAGCGGCGCGCTGCCGCCCCTCGACGCAAGGAAGGCAGGGCGGGGCAGGCGAGCGCGGGAGGGGGGGCAGAGACCTGGGAAGGCCAGAGACAAGGAGGCGGGAGTGCATGCCACGGAGGCGTGGCAAGGGAGGGTGACCAAGGCGGTGGTCCCAGAGGAGAGTCGGGTGCGAAAGGAGGCGACAAGAACAAGGGGCGGACAACTGACCTGACACAGACACCTGACCAGACGCAGCGACCTGAGGAGGCTCAGTAGTCAGTGTGTACAGGCTCGACCCAGGCCGACGGGTGAACGTGGCCAGGTGACGGCCCGTCCGTGCACACGTGCAGATCGCCACACGCTGTCCTCCAGAGGTAAAAGTATCAACCCCAACATCCTGAAGGACGGCGGTACTCACCAAGTTCGTAGAGAACGAGGGGAGGTAAAGACCTGACAGTGAGCCAGACGGAACCGCCGGACACGGGAGAACAGTGGAGGAACGTGCAAGAACTGGGCCCCCAGAGGGGTCAGCCAGAGAGACTGCAACAGGTGCAGGGAGTGGTGTGACCGTGGTAATGTCGCCAAAGAAGCAGCGGGAAGCACCTGAGTCAAGTGTGAAGGTGTGCAAGGCCTCAGCAGGCGCAGTACCAGAGAGAGCAGACTCACTAGCACCCAGAGCAGCAGCCTCTATACCAGAGAGAGCAGACTCACTAGCACCCAGAGCAGCAGCCTCTATACCAGAGAGAGCAGACTCACTAGCACCTAGAGCAGTAGCCTCTATACCTGGGTCGGGCGGCACACACAGGTAGCAGTCACCCTCAGTACCAGCAGGCAAAGCGTACATGGCAGTAAGGATAGCGTCATAGTCTAGAGCAAATATATCCACACCGCGCCGACGCAGCTTCAACCAGTGGGGGAGTTCAGCCGCGACGCCAAACTCTGCGCGCCAGGCGTCGCTTATATAGGCGAAGCAGCGGGACTGTGTGTGGCCAAATGTCCCGCAGGTCTGACCAGCCCGATCACCTGTGCGAATGACGTACGGGCAGCGAGCAGTACACCCAGGGTCACGTTGAGCTAACCACTCACGAAGCTGCTGAGACGTAAGGGTCTCGCGCGGACGCCGCTGCGGCTGCATCTGGTCATCGCCGGTAACTCCCCACTGAACAGCTCCACCGCGACTGCTACTACTGCCGGCGCCACCACTGCTACCACGAAGAGAAGTCATAGCGGGCAGGGCGTAGACGCGGTGATCAGGCACTAGGGTTAGTTCGTAGGGTAGGGTGGGCTGGTGCACGGTCAGGGAAGGGCAGCGCGCGGTCAGAGTAGGGCGGCGCGCTGGAAGTAGGTCGGTGCGCAGGCAGGGCAGGGCGTATGCGTGGCGCGCGGGCAAGGTAGGGCGTCCGCGGGCCGCGCGACTGGTAGGGCAGGGCGTAGATGCGGCGCGTGGGCAGGGCAGGGCGCACGCGGGTTTAGGGCAGGGCAGGGAAGGGCGTACGGGCGACGCGACAGGCTGGGGCAGTCCGCACGGGCGACGCGACGGGCACGGCAGCCCGCACGGGCGACGCGACGGGCAGGGCAGCCCGCACGGGCGACGCGACGGGCAGGGGCAGGGCGGACGGGCGACGTGACGGGCCAGGGCAAGGCGCACGGGCGACATGGCGGGCTGGGGCAGCCCGCACGGGCGACGCGACGGGCAGCAGGGGCGCGCGGCGCGACGTGCAGCTGGGGCGCGCGACGCGACGGGCAGCAGGGGCAGGGCGTTCGCGGTGCGCTCGACGCAGGGCAGAGCGTGCGCGGGCCGCGCGACGCAGGGCAGGGCGTGTGTGGGGCGCGCGACGCAGGGCAGAGCGTGCGCGGGTGGGGGCGCAGCGCAGGGTAGAGGAGGGCGTGCGCGGGCAGCGTGACGCAACGCAAGGCAGGGGCGTGCGCGGGGCGGCGCAACGCAGGGCAGGGCAGGGCATGCGCGTGTGGTGGGGCAGCGCGACGAGCAGAATACGATCGGTGGGCCCTAACGAGAACGGTCCTGGGACAGGACCTGCTCTGATACCGTATTCTCCCGGAAAAAACACCCCCCCATGATAGAGCACCCCCGGGTAGCTTGTGCGGGGTGGGTGCTATGGGCGACCTCGTTTCTACTATACCCCCCTTGTTGGCTGATTTTCTTTAACACCCTCCTTTTCTTACGGATTCATTGTTATAGTCGTTAACGAGTAGCTGCAATACGGAAGAATATCGCGAGAATTTCTCCCTCGATGAAATTTTGCAGTACTTTCACTTACAATCTGCCAAGATTTCCCCCCTCCCACTATTTCCCCCTGCCACGTGCTGGTCAATCTTCCGCTGCAAGTGGCCAGAAAGGTGCCACCTGGCATTTTCGTAGAGGTGATGAAGTTCGCGGCCGAAACTCACATTCGCGCCTCAGACAGTGATGTTAAAACGACCATCAAAACACCCACATTGTCTAATAAAAAAAAAAAAAAAAAAAAAACACTAACACTAAAATATGCCATATGTAAGGACCCGGGTATTATGTAGTTTTTTCTTATGAGAAGACACCCCCCTTTTTTTCCTGTATTTTTGCATATACCCTAGGGTGTTATGTCCGGGAGAATACGGTACCATGTCAGAATGAACAGCAGGAATGAATGAACTAGCAAACAGTTTGGTACAAGCACTAACCCTAAACTGGGTTGTACCCCATATAGGCTACCCCACTACAGCCTACACAACATGTTGGAATAATCGAATGGTTACCTTAAGCATTCCCGAAGCCGTCCCACTAACGCATCAACTGTTAGCAGAACCGGGCAATGAACCAGTACCGCAATGGAGCTAGCGGAAGGTTGAGAGTCACCCGAAAGTCAACCGCCAAAGGTAGTCAACGGTCGTGAATCTTGATCAGCCAGTAACCGCACGACAGTTGTTCGCTGCAACATGGTAACTGTCGAGAATGACAATAGCCGGGGTTACTGTAGTTATACAATACAGTTGAATAAGGGAATGTACCCCTCAGAGTACATGGCTAGTTAGTTGCTATTTAATCCCTTATACTTCTATCACTTAATCATCTTGTTCTCTCTTCAACTATTATCTGACAAGGTCACCACAGAGACTTCATTGTCTCCTCCTAGACTTAGCAAACTTATCCTATTCACTTGATCCTTCGGTTATATCAGCATGGTATGAGAGCTAGAGTGGATTATAAGTTCTGCTAAATCTTCGTTCTACTCAGAACAAACTCCTTATAATCTCATTCAATACAACGCAAGGTCTGCACCATCATGGCTCTCGAAGGGAAAACCACTGCAGACTCACCGGGCCCACCACCAGCAACGACTAATGCGCCATCAGCGGTGACCTCCGTCAGCGCCGCTGTCGTCGAGCAATTAGTAGCTCGCATCAACGCTCTTGAGAGCCATCAAGCCATGAGCATCGACGGCTACGCAAGAGGAATTGCTAGACTCCCTCCCCCTGGAGAAGACCGACGCGTCAACTCCGAGAGGTCTTTCACCTTTGACAACCGTCAAGGGTCAGCTCCTGCACAAGACAACCCACAACAAGTGCAGTCAGAAGCAATTGCTTCCATGCAAACCAAGTTTGTACTAACCTCAAAACTGAAGACTTCGATTCCCTTTGACGGCAAGGATTTCTACACGTGGAGCTTCGAATTTGAGCTTCTCGCAACAACCGCTCAAATCTGGATGTACTACGACGGAAGCCTACCTTCCTTTCCGAAGGAACCGTCCAAGAGAAGCACCAATACTACCACGAATCCCTCCTCGCGTACACCGCTCTCCTTCGAAATCTCTCTCCCGAAGAACAGCTCGGCATTCGTCCTTACAAGACAGAGTGGGCTCCCGCGCAAGCTTCCTGGGAACACCTGCGCAACTCATACATGGCAACAGATCCAGTCACAATGAGCCGCTTGCTCAGTCAGCTGACTTCGGTTAAAATGAAACAAGGGGAGAAAGCGGGACCGTATGTCAACCGGTGCCGCAATCTGCGCGATCACGTCAAAAAGTGCGGGGGAATCGTTCCCGACGACATGTTCATCTCAATGGTCATCTCAGGTCTCGGCCCCGACTGGCGACAATGTCAGTCACTGCTCCGCGCTCGAGCAACGATTTCGGAGTCTGCCCTGTGCGCCACACTCCTTTCCGAGCAAAAGGAGATTGACCTGTATAATGAAAAGAATGTCAAACGGGAGAAGTTAGTCTTCTACGTCGGAGGATCTCAAGGGGAGCAACGTGGAAAGAAGGGAACATTCTGCAAATACTGCAAGAAGCCCGGCCACTCCATCGATCAGTGCTACAAACGAAAGGCCGCTGACGAGAGGCACAATCAACGCCTCCTACCGCGACCCCGACCATATCGCCTCCCTCCGTCGCCAGCACCTCCCAAAACCCTGCCCGTATCACAATGAAAGACAAAGGCAAGGGGACAATCATGAGTTGCATGGCGCGTCGCAAAAGTGGTCGATACTACGACAACGTCGCATACCCGCCTATCTTGCCGATCAACCCTATTACGCCAAGTTCAGACAACGATCCAACCATCCTCAACTGGATCGATCGTCCATCGAACATCCCACCTGATTTCGAGTTGCCTCCTCCAACACCGGAATCTCCTCCCAGCATCTCCGCAAATAGGTACCACGCTCTCTCACCGTACACCGGCGACTTTGACCGCGTTGTCACGCCAAGAATCGCCAACATCGCGCGGCAGAGCCATGAGAGCATCAACACCTGGTACCTTGACAGCTGCTGCGGACAACACATGGTGGGATCCCCGGCGTTTATCACCAACTCACGGCGCATGCGACGACCATGCGAAATCACAGTCGCCAACAACGGCAAAATGAAAGCATACGGCATCGGTGAAATTTACCTTGAAGCCGATGACACAAAATTCACCATTCACATCGGAGACGTGCTCGTCGCTCCAGACCTGCAGTACAACCTGCTCTCCTCGGCACAACTCATGCGGTGCGGAGTTGACATTTGAAGCAACCGCAGGGACAAAACCTTCGAGCTATTCTACAACAACACTTACATCGGCAAGGCAATAGACGATGACGGAGTCTTCGTGCTGCAGTTCTCAGCCCAAGGGACCACTGGCGATTCTGACCGCACACTACTGTTGAAGACAACTCCCACGGAGCCGCCGACGTGGTCCCACCCTACGGAAATGGACCTTGAACGGCCTGCCTCCGACGGTCTCCTGCGCCTACGCACCGTTCCAACCGCTTCAACCTCCAATCTTGCAGAAACTGGACCTGCCACAATGGAAGAAGACAGCGGCACATCAGCACTTGCAGCACCAACCACCGGAGAAGGCAGGGCAACTGGCCCTTGGGGAGAGATTCTGACTCCAGAAGAAGCAGCCACAAATGGATGGGGCGCCGACATAGCTCCACAAGGAGGAGAAGCCACTGGCGGCGGCTGGGGAACCTCAGCCGGAGAAGGATGGGGCCCGCGAAACTACGATGAAGCCACGGGACTTCCTCCTGCCGAAGTAGCGGCGGTCGACCCATACTGGGCAACTCATGGCACCAGCTGGGGAGGTCCTCCTCTTCCCGATCAATACGCTCCTGACACACCAGAACCAACAGCGGAGAAGTCAGAAGAAGAAGTAACTTACGAACTTTTGGGAGAAGCAGCGGAATTACCGGAACCTACGGAGGAACCGCCATCACCAGAGCAAGGGCCGCAAGAAATTGAAGTCATCGGTGCTGAGTACACTTACTTTCGAATTCCTATGACAGGACTCCGCGCCCACGATTGGCCAAAGTCAAAGCCGCCACCGTCACCGCACCTGCTTGTCACGGGAAAACCGGTCGACACCGCAGATACTGATGACATCATCGGAATTCCGCGCTTCCTCCTGGAGCAGAACTCTGTGAGAGCCTTCGCAGCTGACGCCGACGCCGCCGCTGACACGGGACCTGGAAAGGAGCAGGACGATGCATCAGCACGGCACAAATATTACCAAAAGACTGTCGGCTACCGTGCGGATCCTGAAACCTGGCACCAGCGTCTTGGACACCCCTCACACGCCACACTCAAGAACTCACTTAAGGCCGGTGTCTTCGACGACGGCGCACTTCTCCTGCCTCGAAATGGCTTCCTCACCACGGACTCAGCTGACCCACCGTGCACCATCTGCCCAACAGCAACGCTCACCCACAAGCCGTTTCCCGACTTACCTCCGGGATACGAGCGCTACAAGCCACTAGACAAGGTCTATAGCGACTTCATGATCCTCAGCCACGAAGGGCTCGACGGTGAACACTACACCCTTACTTTCATCGATGCATGTACGTGTTACGTCTGGGCCATCAACACCGACTGTCGCTCTCTTGCCTTCGAGTGCTTCGTGGCGTGGATGAAGCGGGCTGAGCGTCAATCCGTGCTGAGACTGAAAAGCTACCAAACAGACGGGGGGTTGGAGTTTTTCTCAACGGAGTTCAAGGAACTCTTCAAGCAGAAGGGGATTGAGCACCTGGTGTCCCTGCCCTACGCTCACGAGCAACAAGGAGTAGCAGAACGGACAAACAGGAGCCTCGCTACACGGATGAGGGCCCTGATGAAGCAGTCGGCCATCCCAACCAAATACTGGCCGTTTGCGATGAATCACGCTGTTCGGCTGCACAACTTGCTGTCCTCCCGAAGCCTCGAGAACAACAACTCCCCCTACAGGGCATGGACGGGCAGAAAAGCGGACACGCGTCTGCTCCGGATGTTCGGCTGCATGGTACAGTACAGACCCCACACTGCAAGGACCGGAAAGTTTTCTGATCGGGCACGATGGGGAATCCACCTCGGAATCGAAAAGGAACACAAGGCGTGGATCGTGCTGGACTACGCGATGCATGAAGTGACGAAATCACGTGACTGCATCTTCTACGAGAAGCTGACCTTACCACTGTTCAAGGAGCACCGGGAAGCTGACAAGGCGCAAGAGAGGGTCTTCGAGGGACACCGCAGCTTCGCCACGTCACACGACGAAGCTGACCTGGCGGAAGATGCAGACGCAACTGATGTCACCCCGATGGATACAGCACCCAGCATCCCCCTTACAACCCCGCTCCAAACTCCAATCTTCATCCCTGTACACCAATTCGATCCGGATGATACAACTCGCGAAGCTCACAACTATACCAGTGAAGCACTACGGTCCCCGGATGCAAAGTTACCACAGCCCAACACCTCGCAAGACACCGTCCGCCTCGGCAACGAAAGTGACGATGACGTAGTCGAAGTTACCAGCCTCCACGACTACGACCGCCTTCACTACGAAAAGACCAATGAAACCGGCCTCCGCGTTCTCGGTCTCGCTGTCGTTGTTCGCCACCACTCTCCTAAGGAACCAACGACTGTTCGCCAAGTCTGGCCCCGATAGCGAGTAGTGGAGAGCAGCCATGGCCGCAGAAGTCGCGTCGCTGAAGAAGCGTGGCACCTGGAAGCTGGTCCCTCGGTCATCAGCAAAGGGGAGAAAATTTCTCAGCGGCAAATGGGTCTTCCGCATCAAGACCCTGGCTGACGGCTCCATTGATAAATACAAAGCGCGGTGGGTGGTGCGCGCCTTCGAGCAAACGCACCTGGTGGACTTCACCCTCACCTACGCACCTGTCGGACGTCACACCTCGGTACGCATACTCATCTGCCTCGCAGCCCTCAAACAGCAGCCACTCCGCCAAATCGACGTCGGCAGCGCTTTCCTTTACGCCCCTGTTGACGCCATCATCTTCGTCGAACAGCCACATGCCTTCGAAGAGAACGATGGCGCCGTGAGTCTCCTTCAGAAATCCCTTTACGGAATTAAGCAGGCACCCCGCCTGTGGCAGCAGTATCTCCACTCCGTTCTTCTTGACCTCGGTTTCACTCAGCTACCACATGACCTCGGAATGTACCGCCGGGAATCGCGCGGCAACTTCATTCTCCTCGTCGCCTACGTGGACGATCTCCTCTACACTGGCAACGACACGGCGCTGCTCGACCAGTTCGAAGCTAAAATCAAGGAGAAGCTCGAAGTGACGACCAACCACAACGTCACACAATTCCTGGGCCTTAACATCACCCAGTCCGCCTCTTCCATTCACCTCTCCGCCGCTAAGTACGCCGAAACACTCGCGAAGCGATTCACCATCGCGCCAATCAACCTCACTACTCCTTACCGCACTCCTCCTCCTAATCATGCGCCAGACACCACACCCCTCTCCATCGACGACCATCGGCTCTACCAACAGCAGCTGGGATGTCTCCTGTTTGCCGCCGTCACGTGCCGGCCCGATCTCTCCTACGTCGCAAGCCAGCTCGCACAGTACCTGAAGCGACCTGAAGGGGAGAATCTACTGGATCTACGCCGAGCACTACAGTACCTCATCTCAAATCCTGACGTCGGCCTTACCTACGAAGCTAATCTCACCGCCACTCTGCATCTTCATGGCTACGTAGATGCTGACCACGCAGGGGATGCTGACAACAGGCGCTCCCGCACAGGATTTGTCTTCCAACTCCAACCTGCTGGACTCATCTCCTGGAACTCTCAGAAGCAAGAACTCATCGCTCTTTCGTCAGCGGAAGCTGAGTTCATCGCCGCCAGTGCAGCGAAGGATTGTATCTAATGGAGCTCCTGCAAGAAGCGAAAGTGACGATCAACGGACACTTCACGTTACTCTGCGACAATCAGAGCGCGATCAAGATCGCGAACAAACCCGGTTTCGTAAACCGCACGAAGCACATCGCACTTCGCTACTTCTTCGTCAAAGACGAAATCGACAGGGGGAGAGTCAACCTCACGTATTGTCCAACCGGTGACATGGCAGCTGATTTCCTGATAAAGAAATTGCCACGCCAGCAGTTTCAACACTGTGCCAACCTCTGCGGGATCACCAAGAAATCCCACGTGGCCCACCTTCAGGAATGAAGGGGAGTGTTGGAATAACCGAAAGGTTACATTAAGCATTCTCGAAGCCGTCCCACTAATGCATCAACTGTTAACAGAACCGTGCACTGAACCAGTACCGCAATGGAGCTAGCGGAAGGTCGAGAATCACCCGAAAGTCAACCGCCAAATGTAGTCAACGGTCGTGACTCTTGACCAGCCAGTAACCGCACGACAGTTGTTCGCTGCAACATGGTAACTGTCGAGAATGGCAATAGTCGTGGTTACTGTAGCTATGCAATACAGTTAATAAGGGAATGTACCCCTCAGAGTACATGGCTAGTTAGGTTGTTATTTAATATCTTGTACTTCTATCACTTAATCATCTTGTTTTCTCTTCAACTATTATCTGACAAGGTCACCACAGAGACTTCATTGTCTCCTCCTAGACTTAGCAGACTTATCCTATTCACTTGATCCTTCGGTTATATGAGCACAACACAGCATAATGTTCGGACACATATGACACACATCACCTAAGGCTATAACATTGATTTTGGGATAAGGGTACATGAATATAATAGTCATCTTAGCTATGTTATCGAATGTAACAACACGGCACACGGCACTAGTCCCGTCAACCCCGCGCCTTCAACTTCTTCCCAGTCTTCCTTCTCTGCCTTGGTCAAACCCCTCCCTCCAACCTCACTACAACACTTTCATGGTTGGCGACCAACACCAACGTGGTGCTGCCTTTGTGTCGATATAAACTGATGAAGCCTGTCGTAATCTACATTTCTTCACTCGAGAATACCATGTCGTATCTGCCGTCCTTCCTATTCCCCGCCTTGGCCCCTTCCCCTCCTCTGTCGACTATTGAGAAAGTCCTATCCGATGATTACCTTCTCTCGCTCGTGCTGCGCTCGCTAACGTGCGACTCCTTTCATTACGCGCTTGTCTCCAAACGATGGTACGCCGCAGCGCGGTTCTCGCTCGCGCACCTCGTTATCAAATCCAAGATCCGATTTCCCGTTCTCCTAGACACGATTCGCACGTTTTCCTCGCTCACGCGCCTAGAGCTTCAAGAATGTCGCGTTCAGGATCCGAACGGCGATGCTCTCTTCCAATGCCTGGGCGCCGCGTGTCCGCATTTGACACATCTGACCATACACTACCAGTTTCGCATGCACGTCACTTGCAACGGCCTCTCGTCTCTCTTCCATGGCTGTCGCAAGCTCCGCGACCTCCGCCTGCTCACCCTCCACTCCCTCCCGCACCTCCCATCCGCCGTCACTCTCCTCTCCGACCTGAGAACCCTCCATCTCTGCCGATGCTACGAGTATTACGGCGTGGATCGATTCGAGCATCTAATTTCGCCGCCTGAAAGCATCGGCGCGCTTCAGCAGCTACAGGAATTCCGCGTTGTAACAGGATCGCAGTTCCGAGGTCTCCCGGATGCAATCAGCAACCTCACGAACCTCCGAAGCTTGACCTTTTCCAACCGCTCCTTCTCTCACCTACCCACCTCCATTGCTGACTTACCGCATTTACAAACCCTAGAAATCGAGATGGATAAGTTAAAGGTGATTCCGGATTCCTTCCAGCACCTCACCGGCCTTCGTTCCTTCTCGCTACAGTCCAAGCGCGTGAAGCGCGTGCCTGAGCATGTGGTGGGGGCGATGGTGCGATTGAAGTCGCTCTGTCTCTGCTGCAAGTCCATCCACAGCCTGCCAGACTCCATCTGCTCCCTCCCCCTCTCCTCCCTCTCCATCCTCTCATCCCCTGTAATCACCTCCCTTCCTGAAAACCTCGGAGCCCTCGTACAGCTTGAAACCCTAAAGCTTTCCAATCTGCCCAACCTTCTGTATCTGCCCGAGAGTGTGGGAGATCTACAGCAATTGAAATCGTTGGAAATCAGCGAGCTGGGTCTGCTGCAGCTGCCCGAAAAGCTGTGCACGGGGAGTGTGAGACACAGCCTGGAGGGGCTTTACCTGTGCGAGTGCAGAGACCTGAAGCAGCTGCCTCCCCAGCTGGCCATGCTGACGCGCCTGGAGGAGCTTGACATCACCTCCTGCCCTCGCCTCGAGTCCCTAGACCCATTGCTTGCTCCGTATCCCCCATTGGGTGTGACCTGCTCCCTTGCTTCTGCTCTTTCTATTGCTGCTGCCCCTGCGCCTCGCCATCCTCTTGACCCTGCTCCTGCTACTGCCACTGTCGCTCCTACAGCCAGTGCTTGCAGTAAGGGCAACACATCCAGCGACCCACAGTTGCAGGCACAGGCACAGGCACAGGCACAGGCACAGGCACAGGCACAGGCACAGGCACAGGCACAGGCACAGGCACAGGCACAGCACAGCAAAGAACAGCCCAGCGCACAGCAGCCATGGGGCCTGGCGCCTCTCACCAGCCTGTCGCTGTGTAGATGCTCGCGAATCCCCTCTCTCCCTGATTCCTTCTCCACGCTCTCTGCCCTCTCTTCCCTCACCCTCACCCACATGCACGGCCTCTCCAACCTGCCAGAATCCCTCGGACAGCTGGAAAACCTCAGGTCCCTGAAGCTTCAATACTTGGAGAAGTTATCTGCTCTGCCCGACTCACTCGGGCAGCTGAAAAACCTTGAAACGCTGGAGCTATGCTATTTGCCAGAGCTGAACTCTCTGCCCGGGTCACTCCGTTGGCTGCCAAAGCTGAAAGAGCCATTGTTCATTGATGTGGGTAGGGTGACAGAGTGGTGGTGGATTGACTATCTCCGATCCGTTCGGTCTGCCAGAATGCGGTTGATGCTTCACTGAAGGCTCCCATGCAGACCACGTTTCTGGGTACCTGCATGCTCGATCATCGCCTTGTGGTCTGACCAGAATTACAGCTTGGTGGTGGATAGATTGACCATTATCCAATACCCGTCAGAAGCAGGGTATTTAAGTGTTACGCCTGAGTTGCTGTGTACATACAGGAAAAGCGAAGTTGTTAATGCGTACAATTGTCTCCATTCTGGTCTGGAGTGCATGCAAGATTGCAACACAGGGTTTGACATCTGAAACAAGCTTGAAACCATAACTGTGACCTCTGAAATGTAGTATTACTACATAAACTTTCCATGTTGGTCAAATCGCAATATCACAGAGCACCTATTATTCCCTCACCTCAGTGACTATGCCGCTGCCGATGTTGGGCCATTATTGGGCCAAAGTTTTCCAAACCAGACTGGCTCCACGTGCCTCGCCCTCAGATCACAAACCACAAGCGCTCACGTCGGTGGTCAGTTCGGTGCAAGTTGGGTGACCTTGAGAAGTGCGATCAGTGGCTGTCTGACAGGTCTGATTGGGGGAATGTCGTGTCATGCCTGGCAGGGTGGTTCGTACCGTGCAGTGCAAGCAGGCTGGGAGCGGCATCTCGCCTTCGATGCCTCTGCTTTGTGGATATTCCACTTGCTGCCATCGCTGTTCGCGCTGCCCTCGATTTCCACTTCCTCGTTCTCCTCTCCCCCGACTCAAGCCACTAGTCGTTTCTCCGATTACCACTAATCGTCGATTTACCTTAGCTTCTGTCGCTCTTGTTAGCGTATTGACTTTCAATCACAGTCCAGCTTCCGCTGTTCAGAGTTTTTCGACGCTGTGTTCGTAGGTGTGGAGCGTTTTTAGGTCATGATAGTTGACGACTTCGATCAGCCGAACGACGTCTATCTCTCGCGCGCGCCGGAGGATGTCATCATTTCGCGGAATGGAGCGGTGCTGGGAAAGAAGACCATCTTAAAGAGCGACCACTTCCCTGGCTGTCAGAACAAACGCCTTTTGCCTCACATCGACGGAGCTCCGAATTTCCGGCAGGTTCGACTTCGCATCGTGTAATGAAACTCGGCACCACCTCACCGCTCTTTTTGTTGAATAACAACGAGGCGCAAGATTCTTCCGTAGTTCGCCTTTTCATTCTCCATCACCCTGACCGATTAATCTTTACTCTTCCCTGTATCACTATTTTCTGTAAATAGATTGCGGACCTTCCGGTGTACGGCGTGGCCATTCCGACGGTAGAGGGCATTCGCAACGTTCTGCAGATAGTGGGAGCTTCGCGCAATGGCGGACGGCACGTCCTCTGGCACAGCATGCGCGAAGAGCCGGTAATTCCTCGCGCTTGAGCGTCGCTCGAGTACATTTGACACCCAGGGGAGTGACCGCAATTTCAGGATACAAAAAAAATGTTTGTTGGTTTCGCATCAATGGTTCTGAGAGATCATTTTTCCAGCTCGCAGGGCAGCATGACTATTTCCCAGATTAGCATAGCGGATGCAGGATAAGATTGACAATCCCAGAACAGCGGGTTTTTTTTTCGTTCTTAGGAATAGTCCATTTCAAAATGGCATTTCTAGTAAAGGAGAGCCTTCACCTTTCGAGCAGCGCATTGACCATTTTGGAATAGCGTTGACGGGATTCAAGCGTCATTCTGTTTCGTTCCCTCTATTTCATAACAGAGTTGTCTCTTTCAGGATCTCATTGACCTTTTTCAATGTAGGGTTGCTGTTCTCATGTTACGGCTTACATCAATCCGGCACTGGCCATGTGGCGGTGGCTTTCCCTTTTCAATGTAAAATTGACACTACAGAGTAGCATTTACTGAGATTTTACCATGCTTCCCTACCATGACAGGTCATCTACATCAATGGGCGCCCCTTCGTGCTGCGCGAGGTTGAGCGGCCGTTTACGAACCTCGAGTACACTGTGAGTGAGCACTACAACCCCCAATACACAATGTTGACAATGACATCGAAAGGAATGCAGAGTAGGGCTGTGGGTCTGTGAGCGAGCAGTGCAATCGCCGCCAGAGCAGGTGACATTGGAACCCCTTGGCAAAGCAGAGATTCTCTGAGGCACAACAGAAATTGCATTGTTTTGTTTTTAAGAGCAGCCAGTTTTCTCGTAAGACGCAGGTCTATCTCATGCAGTCCGTTCAAACCTTTTCTCCTGAAGGCAAGTTCAAACCTTCAGCTTTTGGGGTGCGTGTGTGTGCGGGTGGCTGGCAGGGCATCAACCGGGCGAGAGTGGAGCAGATGGAGGCTCGGTTGAAGAAGGATGTGCTCAGGGAGGCGGGCAGGTGAGCCACGGGGTTGCTTGGGGTCGCTGTGCATTTGCAAAAGTTTCGTAACTGAAGGAAATGGTGGTGGTAAGGGCGTGTGAGGTCGGTTTTGAAGTTCAAAATAAAGTGCGAACTTTGGGTGGTTACCCGTTTCGCCAATATCGCATGGAGCTATTAGCGAAAATTCGTCAACTTTGGGTTTGGCAACATGCGAACTGCAAACTTGAACAAGACTCGAGTTTTAGTTGTGAACGTGCTTCGGCATGTTCACATTCACGTGTGTGATTTCCCGCACGTTCAGTCATCGGGCGAAATGTGCGAGCGACTCACGAGTAGCAACAGTGGCACAACGAACTCACCACAGCCTTCGTGTACTGAATAGAGGCCACGTGGCGAGAATCGTCATGTTTGGGGAATGACGAGAGCTCCAGGTGGGCAACCTCTGATATTTGTACCCCAGTGTTGAAGGTGAGCTGGAGGTCTAGGCTATCCGAAACCGAGGCGCACGTCGGCCGCGTGGCGCACTGTCAAGACGTCTGAACCGGGTAACCTACGTTGTAGAAATGCGGCTCGGTGCGATTTTACAAGTTCGAATACGCGCACTCGACCTTGTATGTGTGTGTGCTTTTCTGCAGTGTTGTGGTCCAGATGTGCGAACCCCGATACAAAGGAAGTCGAGATTGATTCGACTTATGTTCACTTCGCACAACTCGCCCAAAAAATGTAAACTTTCACGAATTTCACGGATCACACGCGCCCTAAGGAGCCTTTATTGCCGTCGTAACCTATGCATCGTGGTGTTCTCCCTGCCAAGGTGGAAAAAAATGGTTGCGATAAAAAACGATTGAAAAGAACGATCGTTTTTTACGGTCAGGTTTGGGAAAAAAACATCGTTTTTTTGTTAGACCCAAATTTTATTTCAGAAAAAAAAAAAAAAAAAAACCTAAACAGATCCACAGCCACCAACACTCTCTGGCAAGTCAGTGCTGATGAGTTTCCTAGCCTGATTGCAATTAAAATAAAACAGAGAAAGGTCGTTACTGCTCATCGCTCTCTATCTAACACCATCAAAGTCACTAATGTCCCATGCGTTGGACCCCCCGCCCTCCTCCTCCTCCTCCTCCTCCTCCTCCTCCTCCTCCTCCTCCTCCTCCTCCTCCTCCTCCTCCTCCTCCTCCTCCTCCTCCTCCTCCTCCTCCTCCGCCTCCTCCTCCTCCTCCTCCTCGTCCTCCTCCTCCTCCTCCTCCTCCTCCTCCTCCTCCTCCTCCTCCTCCTCCTCCTCCTCCTCCTCCTCCTCCTCCTCCTCCTCCTCCTCCACCTCCTCCTCCTCCTCCTCCTCCTCCTCCTCCTCCTCGTCAGCCGAACGCTTCCTCTTAAGCTTCTTGGTCGCCTTTCCCTTGATTCCCTTTGTCACCTCTTTCTTCTTCCTCTTCCCGATGCTGCCAAGAGCTTCCCAGTCAATCACACAATCGACATCACCTTCTTCCTCTTCAACCCGTGGTTCAGAGCCTTCGGCCTGTGGTTCACAGCTTTCAAGTGCCGTCGTCGTCACTCTTCCTAGAGTGCTCTCGTTGAGCTTGCCTGCTGCAAGGTCTGCAAAAAGGTTGGCGCGCTCTTCCTGCTTCTTGTCGAATGCAGCCCTCGAGCGCCTACTGAATGCCACCGTGGTGACATCGATCATGGTCTGAGCGCTCAATCGGTTGCGATCGCGCCGCTGCACCCTTGCCATCGCAGACCAGCATCGCTCAACTTCCGACGCAGTGATAGGCTGTGATAACATTCTCACAGCCAAATCCTGCAGCTCGGGGAGTTCCCCTCCATACATCGCCCACCAATCCGCATGTGAGAGACGTCCACTCTCCACGAGCATCGCGGCGGCCCTTGCATCTTCCCCCCCCAGACGACCCTCACCTCTGTGGTACGTAGCAAGCTGGGCTTGCAGCAAGATTCGGCCTTGCACGTCACCTCCTCGTGCCTGCAGCACCGCATTGACCCCTTTGATGATCTCGGGGTCGTTGCGGACTTCAAGCGCGAGCTGGTTCTTCGGGTTAAGGAGCCACCCGAATGCATGCATCGGGTTATGCAACTGCTTATCCCATCTTCGCACGATGATGCCCTTGATGGCCGCCAAAAACTCCGACCTCTTCTTCCCGGCGAGCACTTTGCTGTGACGCCTGAAGAATGTCGCTGCAAACAAAGACATAATACCATTAGGCCACGAATCTGGTTTGGCTTAGGGTGCACTTGTAATGGCTGTTCAACACTGCTTACCTGCTCCCTCTGCCGCCTCATTGACCGCCACGGTCGCCTCGAGCATCATCCCGTAAATAGATCCCATCGCAAGAGCCCTTGTGTCGACTGCTCGTAGCACTTTGTAGATCGGCATCATCAATTTCTGCACTGCTTTGACCGATTCCCAGAAGGTATCATCCAGAAGGAGCTTCCGGATTTTCTTCGCATCTTTGGTCTTAGAGACAGCCACCTCCTTCCATTGGTCACTGATGACCAGCTGACGGAGCTGTTCCTTCACCTCCAAGAAGCGGGTGACCATGATCACCTGCGTGCCAAATCTGGTGGTACCTGGCCGAACAAGCTCCAGCTTGCTGAAAATCGTGCGAAAAAGGGCAACAGCGCTCGCACTTCCCTTGACCATCATCACGATGCGATGGACCTGGGTGAGAACTTTCTTCACAATGCCGATGTTACCCATGTCGTGGAGCATCAAATCGAGACAATGGGCAGCACAGTTGGTGAAGAAAATCGACGGGTAACCCTCACCGAGAATGGCGGCAGCACTCTTGTTATTACTTGCGTTGTCCATGACCACCTGAATCACCTTGTTGTCCCCCACCTCCACGATTGACGTCCTTATGAGATCAGCCAGGTATGATCCTGTCTTCTTCGACAGCTTGGAATCGACGATTTTGACAATCACTGGTGCAGTGTCGCTGTGCGCCAACACACACACCAAACCGCGACTCTTCAAGCACGACCATCCATCGACGGAGATGGTGCACGACGTTGTTGCCCAAGAATCTGTCAAGGGCCGCACGAGTTCTTCCGTCTCTGTCTTCAATCTGGCGAGCAATGGGCCCGCGACTTTGTAGGCAGACGGGAGTGTGTAGGGTCTCCCAAAACTCACTAACGCGTTCAGAAACTTCTGGACCGCTACAGATCTGTGGGGTGTGGTAACCATGCCAGCAAAGCATAATATTAACAAGGTGAGGAGGAGCGTTGCAGCAGCAACCAAATCATGATGGGCACGAATCTGCAGCAGCCATGAGATGAGCGCTATTACACCATACCAAATTAACACGTAAAATGGGGAGGGAAGATGTCCACGGAAGAAACATGACACAAGGGTATATCGTTTCCACTCACTCAGAGACCCGAAACGCCCAATCGTTTTCTGCCACCGCAGTCACACGTAGACTGCACACTCGCATTCATTGCACATTGTGTGTGTGGTCATACACGGGCATGCATGCATCCACGCAGGTACTCCAACAAGATCATGGTGAGCGATGAGCTGCCTGACGGCCAGATGGTGGACCAGTGGGAGCCCGTCGGCCCTGACTCCGTGCAGACGCCTCTCGAGGTGACCTCCCTTCAGGGTTAAAAAAAGCGATTGTATTTTTGGAATTTTACCATAAAAACGATACCGTAAAAAACGGTTGAAATCGGTTCCAGGAGGTGTTTTTAGTTTTAAGAAAAAACTGGCCGATTTGTGGGACCAAATTAAAGGCGAAAGGTACAAGGATGAAGAGGACGAACCCCTCCTTGCATGTGTGCATTTGTAGGCATGACTGAAAATGTTTCCGACCTTTTTCCCCCTTTTTTTCTTGGTGACAAGAGTTTCCTAAACAAAAAAAGCCGTATTTTTGGAAAAATACGGTAATAAACGGACCGTATTTTTGAACCTTTTCTTCCCCATTCTGGACTCTGAAAACGTCAATTTCTTGTGCTGACAGACCTGCCAGCTTTCGTACTGCACTTTGCCATCATGACTCGCTTCACCCTGGCACTATGTTTTGACGTCTGTGGTTGTCTGTGTGTGTGTGTGCATGTGGAGTGGGGGCGTGTGTGCGGCACGGTGGGTGGCATGCAGGTGTACCAGGACCTGCAGAGGCAGGGGTACAATGTGGACTATGAGCGCGTGCCAGTCACCGATGAGAAGGTGCCTGAGGAGGTCGACTTCGACCTACTGGTGAGCCGTCTTGCTTGTCGTGATTCCATTCTGTTCTTCCTTACTCAATGTGTGAATGAGCTCCTCTTGTTCCTCACTGTTAGTCTTCTTCACACCTGTCTCGCCTCCCTCCACCTCGCACTATCAACATACTCCTCTAGCCTTCCGCTATCCCCTTCCCCACCCACTCCTCCCTCCCACCCTCTCCATCTTCCTTCTCCCCCGTTCGCTTCTCTCCATCTTCTTTCTTCTCCCGGCATGTTTGCTCTTCGCCTGGCAGGTGGAGAGTCTGAGCAGTGTGGACGAGGGGACGGCGCAGATATTCAACTGCCAGATGGGGCGCGGCCGCACCACCACCGGCACCGTCGTCGCCACCCTCATCTGCCTCGCTCGCCGCTTCCCCTCCCGTCAGTTGCCATGCCATGCCATGCCCTGCTGTCACTGCACTGCCCATGGTTCTGCACGCTCAGTCTGTGGTTGCCGTCATATTTTACTCATTAATTGCTCCTCCCCACCCTCCCCCTTCTCTCCCCACTCCTCCCTCCCCTGCTCGTGTTCCTACCCTTTTTGCATCAACTATAGTTGTCGTGTTTGCCATGCCTACCACCCGTTTCCCCTGTTAGTGCACAGCCACTGTGTTTGTTTGCATTGCCTCTGTGAAATGAGAGTGCGGTGTTGGCAGCTATCACCAGGCACGTGAGCATTTTCTATGTGTGCTTGCCTTGCGTATGCATGTGCGTGTGTGTGCGCGCTCGCGTGTGCGTGTCTGTGTGTGTGTGTGTGTGTGTGTGTGCGTGTGTGTGCGTGTGTGTGCGTGTGTGTGTGTGTGTGTGTGTGTGCGTGTGTGTGTGTGTGTGCGTGTGTGTGTGTGTGTGTGTGTGTGTGTGTGTGTGTGTGAATGCATGCATGCAGGCATCCTGTCGCCATCAGCGGGTGCCACCATGCTGGCCAAGGCGGCGTCCACAGCGGGCCACGAGCCAGGCGGGGCCGCCAAGCTCGTGCTCGCCACCGCCACCCCCGGCAAGGCGCACGGCGGAGCAGAGGGGGCAGCGGGAGCAGCGGAGGCAGCAGAAGTGCAGGCGGAGGTGCAGGCGGAGGTGGAGCGCGTGCTGCTGGCGGGGCAGTACGCCGTGATTCGCTCGCTCACGCGCGTGCTGGAGGCGGGCAGTGAGAGCAAGCGACTCACCGACCTCGCCATCGACCACTGCGCCTCCATGCAGGTGGGGTGCTGCCGTGGGCAGGGGCGAGACCTGACTGGTATGGTGGGTATGTGACAGGCTGGCCTGAGAAGGGACCGAATGGCTTGAAAAGGGGTCAGGGATGTTGGTGTTCCTCCTGGACTGCCCTGTCTATGTATTGTGTTTTTCTCATCCCTGTTCCAGTGTAGTAAAAGGCATGTTGCACCCACCCACCCATTCTCCCGCGTTTCTCTGTGTGTGTCTCCATTCCCATTGGCACTACTAATTCATCCATCCCTTCTTCCACACTCTCTTGGAAATTATCCCGCAGAACCTCCGGGAGGCCATACTGGGGTATCGCAACCGCATTCACCGGCACTCGGACGAGAAGCGGCGGCAGGCGGCGCTCAACCTGTTTGTGGCGTACCTGGAGCGCTACTACATGCTCGTCTGCTTCTCCGCCTTCCTGCACTCCCTCACCGCCCCCCACGCCTCCACCCCCTCCTCCATCACCACCTCCCAAGCCCTGCCCTCGCCCTCGCCCTCGCCGTCGCTGTCACTGTCGCACAGCAAGGCGGATGACCCCTCCTGCGCGCATGGGAGGGCGCAGGAGCCCCCCACGCCAGGCAGGGAGCGCTTCTCGCTGCTGGACGGGCTGGCAGCCACGCAGGCGCTGAGGGACGCCAAGGGCGGCTTCCAGCGCTGGATGAAGGCGCGCCCCGAGCTCTACAGCATCCTCCGCAGGTACGCCCTCGCCCCCTCGCTCCCTGCAACAGCTGATAGAAATTGCTGGATTCCGGTGGTCAACAGAGATGAATAGAGATGTAGTTTTCATGAAGAACAGTTTGCCGTGCATGTTGTGTTGTGACAACCAGCATCTCATCTCATCAGCACCATCCTTTGCTCCACTCTCCCTGGCAGGCTATTACGGAGAGACCCCATGGGAGCGCTGGGGTACGCGCACCCAAAGCAGGCCAGCATGCCGCGGGCCCTCTCCTTCTCCCTACCCCATGCAGTCTCCTCCTCACCCACACAGGATGCTGCCACTGCCGTCGCTGCTCTCCACTCACCTGCTCCCATTGGTGCGGCTTCACTGCCGGCAGTGGCAGCAGCGGGGCAGGCAGCAGCGGGGCAGGGAGAGGGAATGGAGGTGGAGGGGAGGGAGGTGGAGGCGGGGGACGTGGCGGGGGAGGCGTTCCGCATGGCGGAGATGGCTGCTGCCATCGTGGAGGCCCGCTCAGGGGCCATGCTCAGCAAGCAGGTGCGCTCAGGGGCCATGCTCAGCAAGCAGGTGCGCCTGGCTATGTATTGATGATGTGGTCAGTGGTACAGTTGCAGTGTTGCTACTGTTTCTGCTCCAACCTACTCGTTTTCCTGTTCCTCCACATCTGCGTGCATGCTCATGAGGCACATGCGCTCACCATTCCCTTCCTCTCCCCCTCCGCCCCTCTGCTGCCCTCCCCACATTCACCTGCTTCCCCTACGACCCTCTTTCCCCCCTCTCTCTCCCTCTCTCTCTCCCTCTCTCTCTCTCTCTCTCTCTCTCTCTCTCTCTCCCTCTCTCTCTCCCTCCCTCTCTCCCTCTCTCTCTCCCTCCCTCTCTCCCTCTCTCTCTCCCTCCCTCTCTCTCCCTCTCCTCTCCCTCCCTCTCTCCCTCCCTCTCTCCCTCCCTCTCCCCCTTCCTCCCTCCCTCCCTCCCCCCCAGACGGTGCTCAAGTCGGACCACTGTCCCGGCTGTCAGAACCTCTCGCTGCCGGAGCTGCTGGAGGGCGCGCCCAACTTCCGCCAGGTGCACGGCTTCCCCGTCTTCGGCGTCGCCAACCCCACCGTCGACGGCATCCGTGCCGTGCTGCGCCGCGTGGCCCAGGCGGCAGGCGGGGGGAGTGGGGGTGGGGAGGGCGTGGAGCGGCGGGTGGTGTGGCACAACATGCGGGAGGAGGCGACGGTGTATATCAATGGCAAGCCGTTCGTGCTGCGCGAGGCAGAGAGGCCGTTCAAGAACATGCTGGAGTACACGGTGAGACATGGCGCACGCTGTATGTGTGCATTGGGTGAGTGACACATGCTCGAGTAAATGGTGAGTGACACATAGTGCATTGCATGCGGTGAGAAACGGTGTGCTCAAACAGCATTTTGGTAAAATATTTGAGTTGGGTTTAACTTGGCTAAACACCCTCATGTACGTATGGAAAGTTGCATGGTTTTAAGAATCGTGTTTAGAGTTCACATTAGCAGACATCAGTGTGGGGCCCACCCGTGCGACAGGGAGCAACTGGGAGGACTTTAACGTTGCCCATCCATCCACCATGTTTCCCACCCGATTTGATTTCGCAGCACATCATGGTAAACCTCCCATGTATACATGTGTGAGTTCACATGGCAGGCCATTAACCGACAGACAGCGCATGGAGCGCGTGGATTCTTGGTGAAAATCTCAATCACAATGCCCATGTGTGCGGGCGTGTTTATGCGCGTGTGTGTATTGTGTGCTCGGCAGGGTATAGACCGGCAGCGGGTGGAGCGCATGGAGGCTCGGCTGAAGGGTGACGTGGAGAGGGAGGCGCAGCGCAGCGGCGGCATGGTGGTGGTGGACCATGAGAGCGACGCCGGGGAGCTCTTCCATGCCCTCGAACCCGTGCCTGCTGCCGCCCATGGCGCTCACGGTGCCTGCGTGCAGACACCTCTGGAGGTCTTCCGCATGCTGCAGGTGCGTCACCTGCCTGCCTGCTGACCCGCCCTCCCCCCCCCTCCCTCCCTCCCTCCCT